CACCAGAAATTTTTTAACGAAACGTAAAAAAAACCTGCATCATTCCTCATAATATTTCAATTATCAAAATATCAATATTAAACCAACTCGGGAGTGATCCGTATCGATTGCCAAGTTAATTGTGAAATTCGATTCAGACTTCACGGAATCGTTTTACGGTGGGGAGAAAATATTCAGACGAATTGGGCACATCTTGAACTTGTTTTGGAAATCGTTCAAAAATTTAATTTAGAAAATAAAGGAACGGCACTTCAATCAGATAGACCCTTGACGCAGTTTATTTCATAAACAAATTGATTACTCAACCGTTCCTTATATCACTTGGAATTCACTTGATCTCCATCATCTTGTAAAGGATGGGATTTAAAAAAAATATATACGAGGTTTGTCCGGAAAGTACGTATAAAAGTTTTTTAAAAATTTTATTTTACAATTATTCAGGTAAATCAATTTTATCCCCTTCAAAGTACTCCCCCTGTGACATAATGCACTTGTGCCAACGCCGTTTCCACTGTGAGAAGGCTCTTTGAAAGTCCTCTGGTTGTAGGTTTCTCAGCTGCCCCGTCGTAGCTTTTTTTATCTCATTTATGTCCCCCAAATGCCGCCCCCGAAGTACCAATTTGGTTTTTGGGAACAAGAAGAAGTCACACGGGGCCAAATCCGGCGAATAGGGGGTGTTCGGTCACCGTAATGGAATTTTTACTCAAAAACTCACGGACAACAAGAGAGGTGTGGGCAGGGGCATTGTCGTGGTGAAGAATCCAACGCCCCTCTCGCGCCAATTCTGGACGAACTCGTGCCACACGAGCTTTGAGGCGTCTGAGCACATCGACGTAGAATTTTCCATCAACTGTCTGGCCTGGAGGGACGAATTCTTGATGGACAATCCCCCGAACATCGAAAAAAACAATCAACATTGTCTTGACATTTGAGCGGGATTTTCTTGATTTTTTTGTTCGTGGTTCCCCGGATGTCTTCCACTCTTTGCTTTCACGGCCATTCTTGCCGAGTTTCGAGAGAAACTTGATTACGACGCGCTGCTCTTCAACGGAAGCGGGCTCCATGCCGACGGGGTTTCGTTAAGAGGTAACTTCACAGATGGCGTGACAAGCCAGTTCGCACCGCACGGCGGTCAGACCAGAACTGAAGCATTGTTAGGGACATAAGGAAGGGGTCCTGCGCTTACCTGGCCTCCCCACTCCTCTTTCTCGCATTCCAGAACACTTTTATACGAAATTTCCGGACAGACCTCGTACAGCCGATATCATTATTATATTGATTTTTTTTATACAACTTAGAATGGCAAACAAACTGACGGCCCACCTAATGTAAAGTGGTAACCGTCGCCTATAGACATGAGCAGTACCATGGACATAACAGAGTATACTGTTTCGCCCATGATACCCCCCATGCGTTGCCATTCCTGAGGACTCAGGTGTTATTCCTCTGTACCCAGTAAATTCACGCCATATCCCACTCTTCAAACCGAAACACAGCCATGCAAACACAACTGCTTCACGGTTAAAACACGAATAGGACAGAGGTACCCAAGCAATCGACTTTTGTACAAAGTCTCCCTCTAAATCCATACTATACCATAATCCCCTATTACACTAATAGGGGATTATGTGTACTTTTGGTAGGTTTTTTTTGGATGATAATGGAATGGGTACCCCGACTGTGCTATCGGTATACACTAGCGAGGTACTAGTTATCGATGATAAATGAGGATGAAGCAAGTCAGTTAGCCTTTCGTGACGATTTCAACAAGAATTGTTCACGATAGTTTCCAGGGGGAACCACGTGGAGGTCCACCTGATAGGGCATATTGCTAGCAATGGGGCTGTCAAACTCCATTGCTAACAATCCTTTTCCCGATTTTTTTTTTTGTATTGTCTTTCCGACTAAAAATTTGCAGTAATTTGCAATTAAATTGTGGCAATTCTACGGTGGCATAATAACTTCATCATCATCATCATCATATCAGCCATCATCCGTCCACCGCTGAACATAGGCCTCCTCCATAGACTACGAAAAGAAAAGATCCTGAGCCACCTGCATCTATTGACTTCCTAAATGCATTTGGACAATATTAATACGTAATACCTTAGTTTTGGGGAAGAAGGGATTGTTAGTAATGCGCACTACAAGTCCAATTGCTAATAATATACCCTGTCAGGTCGACTGTCCACGTGGCCCCCCTGGAAACCATCGTGCTGGATTCCAGGTGTATTCAGCACGATGGGCTAACTGATCTGCCTTTCCATTCTCACCTATTATCCCTCAATGGTTATCCCGCCAGCGTATACCGTTAGCACGGCCGGAGTACCATTCCATTATTACCCATTAAAAAAAATACCTTAGTCTTTCATATTTGCCAAATATAAAAAGTAGTATAAATGTCACAGTATATTTAGTAATTTCTATTATGGGGTTTATAAGTATAGAAGTCATGACGGTAAGAACGGGCAAGAAATTTAGCTGTTGCTCTTTTCAAAAAGTTTAACTATATAAATAATCAATTTATGTGAATAGAAAAATAAAAAAAAAAACTTACGTTACCTGACGAATCCCTCGAGAACGAAATGTCATTTATATTTTTAAAAAAATAAAAAGAAATTGTAAAAATGCGAAGGCCGGTAGAGGCATGGTATGGCTATTAAGGTCTACCTTTTTTTTATATATAAAAAGAATAAGCTGGTATAGGTTTGTTTTATGCAGGTACCTGATGGAAGGTAGCAACCGTCGCCATTAGATTTATGACTGGCGTCAGCTGTAACTAGGGGACTCGATCCCGGGATCCCGGTTTCGGGATCCCGGATGAAATTTCGGTCCCGAAAATTTCGGGATTTTATGTAACAAATCCCGGGAATTTCGGGATTAACAAAAATTTGTACGAATTAATATATTTAGTGTTTTTGCATGAAATGAAATCCATTTAATGTCTATTTGATATTAATTTATTGGTCATCTTGGATAAAAAGCTGATTGATTGAATTAGTTTGTGATGGCGTTATTTGTGAATGTATACAAAAGTTCGTCTTCACGGCGTTGTGTGTATGTAAGTATTATTAAACTATATTGTTATGGCATTAATTAGCGAAACAATGTTGTATTACAAACATGTTAAAAACAACAAGTATTCATTTTCTAGGTTATGTTGTTCTTATTAAATTTATTCCATAGTGAAAGGCGTAGAGTGGGGAACTAAAATCCATATAGCCTAATCTTATTTAATTTCTTTTCTTGTATCCTCTTTTTTATTGGGGGTCTTAATTTTTCTTTTTGTTTTAGGCTACTAAAATGTCGCTGTCTCAAGAAAGTTTTTATATCAGACACAAAAAAGATGGAAATGTTTTGTCTTTGTGGAGTCATTTTTAGTCGAAAAACAGGATAACGACATTTCTAAAATTATTAAGAAGGAAATGAATCTACTTAAGGCAAGTTCTTCTCGAGGCTACAATTCAGAACAAGCTTATAAATATTTACTGACAATTCGTCCTATAATGGCCTGAACGCACTTCTCAGATTCTGCATATATGTCCAACAAACTCAGAAGCAGGCTTGGAAATGAAACATTAGACGCATTATTATTTTTAAGATTTTATTTTCATAATACATAAGTAGTCTATTTTAAATATAAAACGTGATTACTGATCTCTCTAGAATAAAACAAAATACGTTTGCTAATTATTGTGTATTGTTAATTATTTTTTTAGGTTTCTTTAAGTGAGTCTAACAAAGTTGATTTTCTCAAAGTTTAATTTTTAGTAAGTATGTATTACAATTTGTAAACTACAAATATTTGTCTTCAACGAAATTAGAAGCATAATTTTGTTTAATATAGCCTTTAAATGAAATTATTACCTATTACCAAAATCAAAATAGAATTATTGAAAACAATTTACTAACTTTTTATTGCCACTGCATTCCTAAATTGATCCCGAGATCCCGGTATTATCTTTTAGTAATCCCGAAATCCCGGGATTAAAAAACCAGTCGGGATCGTATTCTCTAGCTGTATTGCAGTAGAGACCGATCGCGTCGCGTACAGACCTAAGAAAAAGGAATTACATAGAAGGAATGATAAAATAAAAACTGTAAACTATATGGTTGCCTCTTTTCTTCTTATGCAAATATAAATAGTAAAAAGAGGACGAATGATACACCATCAGTCGCTATTTTTCTCAATTCATAGCAGGCTAGTGTAAAGAAAATGGTACACGGTCGTATAACCCTACCAAATTCAGATACAACCTGCTTGCATACTCTCTACATAAACTGTGTCGAATATATAATCTAGTAATGTAAATGAACAAAAATTTTACATACATATTTTCTATATATTGTCTTTTTTCTTAACGTCTGGGAAACGCTTTATGCAGACCCATACACTTTGTGGGAGGTGAATGGGTACTGTGAGAATCCCCCCCGTAAGATGGGGGTGTACCCACCAAAAACCAGACGTTATACCCTCGAGGTGCCATATGTCGGAGACATGGGTTCGCTTTCGCACTCACCACATCTCCGACGGCAGCGACCCGCCCCCAGATGGTAAGAGCAGGTCTCTTCTCTCAAGATAGGGTGGATGGCGTGCTCACCCTACCACTCAAGGGATGCGCCGGTATTTCTATACACTAGCCTGCTATGAATTAAGAAAAATAGCAACTGATGATCTACCTTTCGTTCCCTTTTTACTATTTATATTTGCATAAGAAGAAAGGAGGCAACCATATAATTTACAGTTTTTATTTTATCATTCCTTCTATGTAATTCTTTGTTCTAAGGTATAGACATGAATGTATTGTTCGTCACGTCGCGGTCATCAATTAAGGAAATCGGGTCGAGGTAAATAATCCATTGCTCCCTTCCTCTGGTCTTGTATTGTAAATTGATATAAATATTGTAAACGTATCAAACTTTTAAATTGACCAATTTATTATAAATACGAGATGAAAGAACCAATCATATTTTTGGGATATTAGAATAAAAAGTAGGCATTTATGTAGAATATAATTTATTTCATACGTATGTTATTAAAACAATGCGGTTTCGAGATCTGTAGACGGTTAAGCGGCTTGAATAAAACACTTACCTACCTGCCTTCTTGGTCATGTACTATATGTACATGTCATTACATGAGTATAAACTTTATGTACAATAAATATTTTTTTATTGCAAAAATAATTAGAAAAATATATTTACAGAATTGTTGAAGAAATCGTGTCACGTCCATATAAAAATTATTCAGCTTTTATAGCGAACTTCTTTTTTAAATAAATAATTACTATAATTTCTTTTATATAGACAATCCATCGCGTATTATTCGATTTAAAATTAATCGCTGTCCATCAGGTGCGATCGGGATCAATTGAGAGAGCTTTCAATAGTAAAAAATGGCGTTTTAAAGCTGCTTGACCGTTTACGGACCTCACTATCACAATATAAACTTCACTGACAGAAATATAAATACAATAGTTAGTTTATAGATCTGTTATAAAAATACTCAAATATAATAATAGGCTTTAATACGATACATACAGTATTAAGTTTATATCATCCCGGACGAATCAATTTCACGATTATTTCTGAGGTTCTTAGTTCAGTACCGATTTTTCAACTAAGCCTGTTAAATGATACTGATGAAAAAAAAAAAATTAATCATACAATATTTAAACCTAGTTTCTCAATATAAAAACATTCATAATCTTTATAAATTCTACCATTACACTTTCTGTTTGACGAGAGATATTCTTTTATACGATTCTCGGACCAAAACTTTAAGTTTTCTTGTCCTATTTCGAGAGTTTTAATAGTTTTCTGCAAACTGAGAAGATTCTCGTTGAGTCGTTTCTTTATTTTGTCTATGGTCTGCTCCTCTTCCTTAGTCCTTGATGAAATATCTAATGAGAAAAAAAAAAAATTGTAACACACATGGTCCAAATAATTTAAACTTAGATTAATCACATTTAAACAGTATAACGCTTACCAAAAACAATCTCCCGTTTTTCTTGTGTAAGTGAATTTGTATCATATACATAAGTGATTTATCAATTTATGCGTAAATAGGGAAACCAGATTACAAATTCAAATCATCTTTATTTAAATAGAATTGTTTACAAGCAGTTTTAAATTGTAATTTTTTTATGAATCCAAAGTTTAAATTAAATCTTTTAAATTTGTGTTAACATTTCTGTTAACATTATGTGTATTTATTTAATTGTACAATGTTTAAAATTACATGGCGTTAATTAAAAGGCCGTGCATGATCGACTAACATTTGTCATTCAAGTAATCGTTTAGTGTGTAATCGGCTTTGTTCAATAAGTGTTTTTTAATAACAGTTTTAAATTTATTAAAAGGCAGATCCAAAATATCCTTCGGTATTTTATTATAATATTTAATGCCCGTTCCCATAAAAAACGTATTAACTTTTACTTAACAATACGTCGGAACACTAAACTTGAATTTTTATAGTGTTAAGATTACTGAGGTTGCTATAAAAATTTTCATTAGTCAAAAACAACTGTAATTTTTTTATGAAATAAACTTGATATAATGTGAACAGGAACACATGATTATTACATATATTTATATCAATTTGTCTACAATATGTATATGCATATAGCATAATAAATTACAAAAGAAATAATTATCAATATATTTAAATAATGAAAAAAATATCTAGTGACGAGATATTTGAATTTAATACCTTTATTAAAAATTTATTTCATTAATTTGGATTTAATAAAAAAAAAAAGGCCGCGCTTTGTTTTGTTTAAAAAAATCATTGTCATCGAATAAAATAAATATGGACTAAAAATTGTGTAATTTAGGAAACTATTAATATTTAAAGTCAGTTAAAAATAATATGTAATTAAGTACTTTTTTATCATACCTATAGCACTGTCCAATTTTCTTTCACCTTCCATCCCACGAAGCGTCACCTCTAAAATACCTCTAGTATGCACGGCGTCTACGAGCTGCCGTAAGTTGCAAGCCAGCGTGACAGATGGACAGACAAGGGGACAAGCGATTTCGCAGCCTTGCCACTTTGTGTGTAGACGGCTCACTGCCGACTGGAGGGTCTCGAAGATCCAAATCTTCTCGCCGCTGTAAGAAATATTTTTATCAAAATTCCGTGTCATAACGTTCGTTCGAGCTAATTTCCGAAATTGTTTAACGGTATTTTAATGGCATTTTGCAAATTACATGTTATTTTCTCTAACTTAAATAAGATACGAAACTTTTTATCCTGATACGAAATAATTAAATTGTACCACACAAAAAAAAAAAAAACAATTTTAATTCTGGCAAAATCATGTATTTTGTGATATAAACACTAAAGAGCTGAACCGATTTTGGTTAAATTTCTATGCGACCAATCTGTAAGTATATCTTTTCAGATAAAAAAATATTTTTCTAAATTGGTTTACACCTGAAATTTTTTTTTTTTTTTATTATTATACTGTTATGAGATAACAAACATTAAAAATAAATACAACCGAATTGTTCACCTTATTTTTAAAATCGGTTAAAAATCAATAAGACTAAAAAAAGTCCAGTAAATGGCGTTGGGAGGGGGGGGGGGGCAAAACAATTTTTGCCGTATCATCTAGTATTTAATATAAAATCTAGTATAAATAAATATGTCTATTATCGTAATTGTATTAAAAAATTAGTTTATTAATTATATAGCAGTAACAAAAAACACGCCGTTTGGTCCCGGCATAGAATGGACCACTGCTTCCTTTTCCGTGGGTATCATAAAAGGCGATTAAAAGAAACATACAGTCGGGGAATGGACAGCAGCGTCCCTCTTAGAACTTCACCAAAAGCCTGGCTGCAGTTGCCAACCCTCCTGCCAAGCGTGGCAACTATTGGCAAAACCTCTTTATGGCCGAGGCCTATGTTTAGCAGTGAAAGTGATAAAGTACCAGTATTATTATAATCATCATACTGCTGGACATGGGCCTCCCCATAGATTGTCATAAGGATCACTCCTGAGCCACCTGCATCCATTGATTCCCTGCAATGCATTTGAGCTCGTCACTCCATCTAGTGGAGGGTCGATGGATGATAATGGAATGGTAACCCCGCCTGCGCTATAGGTATACACTAGCAGGGCACCAGTGAGAAATGATTGGTGAGGATGAAAAGGCAGGTCAGTTAGCCCATCGTGACGAATTCAACGATAAATTAGTCACTATAGTTTCCAGGAGGAACCGCGTGAAGGTCGACCTGATAAGGTACATTGATAGCGATGGGGACTAACCTCCCCATTACTAACGATTCCTTTTTCTCCTCTAATGGGATGTCGTCCTACACTGCGTTTGCCCCTACGGAGTCGCCACTCAATAATTATTAATTATTTTAATATAATAACAAAATTATAGTACCTTTCAAACACAAGTTTTCTATTTTTCTCCAAATTAAATTTCTTCATATAAATCCTCAGCTCATCCGTATACGTTGGATTATTATCTAGAAAAAAAAAAAACTTTATCATTCATGTCAGTAAAGGAGAGCAAAATTAATGCAATTGTATGGAGACACTTATAAATTTTCACATCAATATTAAAAATGACATAACTATGTTTTTTTTTTATAACACAATTATAATAATATAATAACATTTATATATTTTTTTATACAACTTAGAATGGCATACAAGCTGACAGCCCACCTGATGGAAAGTGGTAACCGTCACCTATAGACATAAGCAGTACCATGGACATAACAGAGTATACTGTTTCGCCCATGAGACTCCCCATGCGTTGCCATTCTTGAGGACTCAGGTGTTATTCCTCTGTACCCTGTAAATTCACACCATATCCCACTCTTCAAACCGAAACACAGCCGTGCAACATATGCACAACTGCTTCACTGTAGAAACACGAATGGGACAGAGGTACCCAAGCAATCGAATTTTATACAAAGTCTCCCTCTGGTCTATTAAAGACTAGTTTTAGTGCCTTATATATCTGTAAAATAAATTCAATGAATATACTATTTTAAGCGTAGCATTATAGGAAGTTTTTATAATAATTAAAAGCGTGTTAACTGTGCGTATTTTACTAAACTAGGTGTTATCTTACGGAAGTTCATATCATTGGTTATTTGATTAAAATTGCCGTTCGTACTGCGATATCATAGTTTGGGTGCCGAATGGTTAGCACTAGGCTCAGAACAACGATCTATTAATTTGCCTGAAGATGCTTTGGGGTCTATCGTGAAATGAAATTCTGAATTTTCACACTCAATTTCGTGTTTTTGGTAATACCAAAATCTTTTCAGTAAATAAAGCATTTTCGTTCGTGATAAGTCATACCATAAAAGTCCAAATGGACAATATTTTAATATTTTAAAACGGTATGTATCTAGTAATTTTACATCAAATTTATGTTTAGTTCGACTACGACATTTCAGATAACATTTCATTGTAGGCCGTCCCGTTTAGAGATGAAACACGTGTTGCAAAACGTGTGCGAACAAAATGGCGGTCGAAGATTGTATGGAGGGTTGCGGAACTTCTGATAGTAACAGTGGTGGTAACAAACTAATGGTAACGGAATTAAACAAACAAATTATGGTAAACCTTTGCACGATTTTTTTATTAGTGAAATAAATCAAGGTGATATAATTCATGTTCAACATTAAAGGAAAAATGGTTAAAAAAATAAATTTGACAGCTATGTTTTTTTTTTTGCAATGGACATTAAAAAGGTATGCAGACACGATCAAGTTAGAGTGAACTTGTTCTTTTATATAATTTTTGGGCATTGTTTGTTTTAGTTACAATTTTCCAAAACAGGTAGTGAACCATAATTATGTATGGATGATAATGGACTGCTAACCCTGCGCAGTAATAAGTGAGAATAAAGGTCGACCTGACAGGATATATTGCTAGCAATCCGTTCTCCCCAATAAATTACGTTTTACAAACATGAAAATTTTAAACAACATTTAGAAAATTTATTTAATTTGTCATTAAAAATATCAATATATGGCGGCTGAGTAATCAGTCATATTGTTTTAGTCCTCACCTGCTGCCAACGTGAAGGAACAGTTTTCGGATACATCTAAATTCAAACTTAAATCCAATTTATTCCGTCTCTGCTCGCGTCTTGCTTCGTAGAATTGTCGAAGAGTAGCTGTTGATTCTTGAGGGAAGTCCAGAAAGTCTAAAAAAAGTTTAATAGTCTAATTCCAACCTTTTCATACAGAAACATCACGATAGGTAAAAATAGTTAATTTTAAACCTACATATCTGCTTCTTTATTGCCGAAACGTCGGCAATAAAAAAGCAGGTATAGAGGTACTATTTACCTGCAAACGTTTTTTCATTACGTTAAGGTCCGATTGTGTATTTGAGAAAAAAGTAAGCAATGTTGTATGAAGGTTCATTAATAATCTTTCTTTTCTAATTTTTGTAAAAGGACATAGCCTGTTCAGCCTAACTACCTTTGTCACCTATTAAAAACCAAATAGATTTTTTTAATCAAATAAAAAATATTACGAATTTTTCAATAAATTATTCATTATTACTTACTTTTGTACCTTTCATTTTCATCTATTTGCACATCCTTGCGGAACCCACCGAAAATATTAAAAAGACAGTCTTTAATATTGAATATCTTTTTTTCTGTGGTGGCTAACGCCACTAACAGCCTTTTCAATTCTTCTCTCTTGCTTTCCTAAAAGGAAAGAAATTAATATTAAGCAATTAATTAATAAAAACACGTGATTTTTATTAAAAAAAAAAAAAAAAAAACAGGGACCTACAATAGAGCCCTGAGGTACGCCCATTTTAATATGAGATGCATGAAAATATATCCATTGCTATTTGACACGTAATATCTTAGAGTAAAAGACAACAAATGGTAAATATTATAAAAAATATACATTGTGTTTGTGACACAGAGATCTTGATTTCACGATTACACAGTTTATTCTCTACCAAAATTGTATGGTAGTAGAATTAATAGGGCGAGACAGAGGTGCAAATTTCTTAGCACAAAATCTAGCTCTGCTGTGGAATCCTAGCCTATACTCTCCCTCTAAATATGTATATGCACTTGATACAAATATCGCAAACTCGTGCTATTCATTGGTAAATTTATCACAATACTCACGATAGCACGGTCCACGGCGGGTAGGAGGCGGTCAGTGGGAGCGGAGGAGGCGGGTGTAGGAGAGGCTCCCGCGAACTCCTCCTGGCGCTCGGCGAGGCGACGCAGCAGCCCCGCGAGGCAGGCCGCGCGAGCCGATACGTACGCACGTTCGCACCTCACTACCGCTAACTCGTGCTCCTCTGCGCTTGACAGGTAATTCTATAAACAAACAGCAGTTAATGTGCGCACACATCATTTATTTATTATGATTATGTATTTAATAAGTTTATTAAGGGTGTTCATACTCAAGTATGTGAACATCAGAACTATTTGTCAGTTTTAAATACACTACCGGGATTTAACGCAATGATAAACAGGACGAAACGTCGGTAATGAAGAAATAGGTATATAGGTATTATTTACCTGCAAAAATTTTTCATCGCGTTTAGTCCCGATAGTGTATTTAAAGTATATGTTAACAACGCGAAAATTTAAAATTAACTATTTGTAATAAAACAAAAGTATAAGTTAAATAACGAATAATGGGTGAAATAATGATGATGAATAAAGTATAAATAAATAAAATACACTCACGTTAAGGTCAGCGAGTGCGGCCACGAATCGTTTTTGTGTTTGTTCGATGTGCACGCGGTTCTTCATAGTCTCAATGCCGAGGGTGCAGTGTAGAGCTGCCGTGTTAGCCAGCACCGATTGTGGATTAGTTCTGCGGAGGAAATGATTGCTTATCGTTTATGCGTAACTCTGCCTGCGGTAACGGTATACGCTGGCAGGGAACCACTGAGAGATTATAGGTGAGAATGAAAAAGCAGGTCAGTGTAGCCCATCGTGATTAATACACCTGGAATTCAACACGATGGCTTACAGAGGGGACCACTTAGAAATCGACTTGCCAAGGGATATTATACTACGAGTAGCAACAGTACTGGTAATCAGTATTGTTAACAATCACGTCTCCTCCCTAACAATACGTATTAGAGGAACATACCCAACAGGAGGTGCGCGGGGGAGGACGTGCGGCGTGGCGGAGGCGAGTGCAGCCGCTACGGCAGCACGGCGCTCGCACAGCAGCCGCCACAGACTGTCGCCGCGACACTTCACCAGCGACGACACGTGCTCTTCTACAACTAAATTACATTTAGATACTTAGAATGGTAAGCTAATAGCCAACTAGATAGAAATTGATAGCCGTTATCTTTCTAATAAAATTGGAACTAAACGATGTCTATACATAGATCATTATATCTTCATATCAGCTGTTAACTGTTGAACATAAGCTCCCCCTTGGGTTTTATCAGTAGTTGCCATGCTTGGTAGATGGATCAGCAATCACAGTTAGTTTTTTTTTTAAATTGATGATAATGGAATAGTAACCCCACCCGCGCTATCGGTATACACCGGCGGGGCACCAGTGAAGAATGATAGGTGAGGATGAAGTAGGTCAGTTAGCCCATCGTGACGAATTCAACAAGAATTGTTCACGGTGGTTTCCAGGGGGAACCACGTGGAGGTCGACCTAATAAGGTATATTGCTAGCAATGGGGCTGCCAAACTCCATTGCTAACAATCCTTTTCCCCTCGCAGTTAGGTTTTGGTGGTGGTTTAAGAAGGACGCCGCTGTCCATCACTCGACCATTACCATTAATTTCCCTTAGTCGCCTCTTAGGACACCTAAGAGAATGCAAAGGCTAGTCCATTCTATGCCGGAATCACACAACAGTACATAGAAGATATTTAAATATACTTTTGGGACTTAGCACAATGAAAAATTTCACAGGTAACTAGTACCTACATACCTGCTTCTTTATTGTCGACGTTTCGATGTGGACTACACAACGTCGTGGTCACGACAGGAATGAAGTGAGTGGCGTCTTGCAATCCACGGCGAAATGTCGGCAATAAAGAAGCAGTTATGTAGATATTATTTATTTGTTTGTTATTGCTATTATACAGACTATTATTATATCTCTATACCCTCTAACTTAACTAAATTTTGATACAACCACAGTTAAACAATATAAACATATTGATAAATCAACATTCTGTATTTACCGGTGTCAGTGTTGTCCCCCTGTGTGGATACAACTGATGAACACGCGACTGGATTCGCGGCAGACAGAAGCGAGCATGAAGATACTGGTGGATTACCTTGACCTTGCTGACACATCAGTGTCATACATTTCTCCAGTTTCTCCTGGATAATAAACAGACTTGTTTTATCTGTGTTAGCAGTAAAAAGACCTCGTCACTATATACACAACACATATATAATAATAATAATATTCTAAAAATGATAGGACTGAGTAGATTCTTCCAATATCCTCAAATGCGGCAAACTGTACTAATCCAGTAGTGATAGTTTTCTGCTTTAACTTAGACTAAGTCCTCCTAACAAAATGAGTTACTGTAAATAGAACTGTTTGTTTGAATGGAAGCATTTGGCGTTCCATTGTTTCTGGTTACCCTAATGGAAGATAGGCATAGCAGATATGTATATATGTTACAATAATAAATAAGTAAATACTACACACTCAAAATAATAAATAAATAATAATTATAAACATTACACTATGTTTAGTGTATCCCATTGCATCCTTTATGTGTTGCCAGTCCAATAATATGTCCTATTAATATTATAAATGCGAAAGTTTGTTATTCTTTCAAGCAAAAAGTACAAAATGGATTTGAATGATATTTATTTAATGATTAATTATATTAATTGAATGGTATGTTATATCCTAACTTCGCAACTGGGATGCTTTATGTACAGATTCATGTGGACGTAGCTGCGAGATGTAGCTAGTATAAAATGACAAAGGCAACACACATGCATTAGTTATTATATATGCTGTAATTTTACAGGTGTATTACAGCAAAATATGAATTCCCAAAGATGGTTGATGTCAGGCAGGCGACCGGTCGTAAAAGCTATAAGCCACATTTTTTTGTAATATGGATAAAAAACATATTATGCTGACTCCAAATAATAATTGGATTAAGGGTAGAAAGATGATGATTAGAGCAAAACAAAATTCGAGTACTGCCATTAAGTAAAAATGGGAATAAAAGAGATAGAAGTATCCATGTTTTTAATTATGTACGTACTGAAACATTGACTTCTTCATCAAACGAGCACAATGAGTCAGCTATTGTCTTGGTCTCTTGAAGATTGTTCTTCTTAGCTTTCAACTCCTCTGCAACTTGCTGGAGCAGCCACACGCGCCGTTGGAGATCCTGAACGCGACGAACAGAGAGGTTGCGTTGGGCCACTGAAACATAATATTTAATAGCATTAATTCGGGGAAAAAAGGGATTGTTAATTGTAGGAAGTAGCAGCCTCATTGATAACAATATACCATATTTGGTTGACCTCCACGCATTTCCCTCTGAAAATCATCATGATTAATTCTTATTGAATTCGTCATGAAGGGCTAGGAGACTATATTTTGTGCATTACAGCATAGTACATGCAACAGTTTTATACTAATATAAAATTTTAGAAAAGAATATATCTATATGACAGATGACATCCGTCAAACCTTAGGGCCTTACTGGAGTAGAGTGGCAGAGGATAGAGTTCAGTGGAGAGAGCTGGAGGAGGCCTATGCCAGGAGGCACACTGAATTGTGAAATATAATAAATAGAAAGGGAAAATATGTCTTACTAGGGTTATAGTGAATTCGGAGTAAAAGGGCTTATATAAGTAGTACTAAATAATTATAATAAAGTATAACTCATTATTATTATTTCAGCCATTAACTGTTTACTTTTGAACATACCATAAGGGCAACTTTGGCAGTAGTTGCCACACTTGGCAGGCGGATTGGCAACCACAGTTATGCTATTAGATATTTTAAGAAGCTGCTGCCCATCCCTCTTCCTCCCTTAGTTACCTCTTACGACACCGTTAAGGAAAAGGTGGCCTATCCTATGACAGGGCACACACAGTGTATAATTCATAATAAGCATTATTCTATTTATTTATTTGTGAATATACTTACTCTTTATTGTTATTTTGTCAGTAATTTGCTTAAGTTTTTCATGTGTATCAGCATTTTTAATTTCAGCTGCTTTTACTTTGTCCCTTAACTCAGTCTGCTGATGCCAAAGCATAAGCTCTTCAGGCATCACAGCATTTGTATCTTGCTGTAACAACATACCATAAAATAAAATAGAAAAAATATTAGACTACATTGATGGCTTTAAATCATAGAGGTATACACATATGTAAAATTTATCAAGAGTGAAAAAAAATTTGTAAAGCACCAAATTTAAGACAAATTTGTATATAATTTAGTATTAAGTTGAAATTTCTTTTAGAATGTAATCATTTATTAAACAATGTAATAAATTAATAGAAAAACATTTTTAATTTAACTAGTTATTTATATTACGCTGTTGTTTAAAAAAGTCAAGTATAAAAATGTAGTCATAGAAATTACAGTACATACCAAGGCATAAAGCCTTTTGCCTTAAGGTCCACAACACATGAGAGGTACTGTAGTTGTCACTGTATGTTGTGATGTCTATGATGTTAATCAAGTCTATTGGTGATGTTTAATACTTTTTATTATATATTAATTAATCAATAAAGGTTAAGTTATTAAAAAAACATCTAAAATAATAATGTTTCACCTCATTGAAGGGACTTTTCTTGCGCCACTTCTGCACATCATCACAGAACACTTGTAGCCTCTTTTGTTTGATGCCATTCTTGGGTTGAACATGTTCCATAAGACTTCTCCACACCATATAATACTGACCTCTGCACATCCTGATTAATAAAAGTTATTTGTTTATAGTATAATTTCTTACAGACAAAAGTATTTTAAAAAGTGGTTAAAATAACAAGTAAAAAAAAAAATACTTATAAAGAGACTAGTTTTTGCCTGCAATTTTATATGTATGGACTTTGGAAGTTTTACTCTCTTAAGGGTTGAGTTTTTAAAATTTAGTCAATCAATCAGTATTTACTTTTATATATAGATTTATAAACATTTATTGTTTTCTCTCAGACTATAGTTAAAAAGTAATAGAATTTAAACAAAAATCTTGGAGAGCTTTATAAAAGATAGTAATTTCTTGCCTTTTTTATATATATATTTTTTAATTTTGCATTTGCAGCACATTAAATAATACTGATGGAAATATAGTTTCAAAACAAATTATAGTTCTCAAAAACCAAGAGATTTTTGGGTAGGGTTTTTAAAAATTGATCTTAATTAATTATATTATAGGGCTGATGAAATTAGGAAATCATGGTCACTTACTCAGCTACTTTTTCAACTGATGGCACAGTGTCTGGTGGGCAGCCCATTGTTAGCAACCATTTCGTGAAATGTAATGGCACTTCATCACTGCTCAATTTTTCAGAACTCATTATAACATTTATTTATTAATAATAAATAAGAAACTGAAGAAAATAAAAAAAAATTAAAGTTTATAAAATGAACAAACCGACATTTCATTTTCAAATTCAAACTATTGACATTTATTTTATTGTTTATTGACAGAGGTCAGATTTGACAGTGACACGACAGTCACAAATAACGTTGCCACATTGGCAAACGTAAAATACAAATAACATTGCCAATGTGGCAACGTTAATTGTATTTTACGTTAAGAGTATTTTTTCGCAATTTATAGTAAGAATTTTTAGGGAATAGTAATAGTTGGAGTTTTGGGGAAAAATAATTGGGTATGGAAAAGTCTGAATCTTTTTTAGAGATTTAGTATTTACAAATCATATATAGAATAATTATAACAATATATAATAGTAAGTGTTGGGTTAGTTGTTTTTTTAGTCGTCTTTTACATAATTCTTAAACAGCTAGAAAACTATGATTGCGATTAACCAAAAGTAAAAGAAAACTTAACAAGGAAAATATTTTATATTTAGGTAGAAATATAAAATCTACCAGTCCTCATTATAGAGTAGTCTCTCAATAGTCTCTTCTTGCTTGATCTGTTGCTGTCTTATATTCTACTACTGTGATTTTAATTTGATTGCAATTTTTTGTTGATATTTTTTTCTTTTAATTTGTTTATAATGTTAGGGAATCTAAAGGAATTTATATCTGTTGTACAAGATGGATTAAGTGCAAATAACAATTTAAAACAAACTTTACAAGAAGTGCAGAAGGTAAAAAATATATTCAAAGATAAACAGAAAGTAAACAGCGATGGAAAAGTGAATTATGGTGCTGGAGGTGCATTACTCGAGAAATATCAGGAACAGTGGGCTGAACTACATCAGAATGCAGACAGAAACGCTAAAGCTGCCGATGAAGTTGATAAATTAATACTAGAATTGCATGAGAGTACTAAAATCAAATTACAAAATGCACATGCATTAAGCCAGGGTTTAATGCAGATACCAGCTTTGACTGCTGCTGTTGCACAGTGTATGGATAGCTTAAAGAATGTTCAACATTTATTGAAGTCTGTCGAGGATGATCTGGTAGAATTTGAGGATATTGTTGAAAGGAGAGCTATGGAAAAGTGGAAGTTAGACCATCACTATCATCTCACTTTATATAAGGAAAAGAAAATGGGTAAGTTTCCGCATATTTTAAGAAAGGCTGAACTAGTTTGGAATCATTTTTAACATTTACTTATAAAGTTATTGAGAATAAATGAAATTTGGACTGGATAATATTTGTCATATTAGCTGGTATAATATAAAACAATTAACATCTTATACTTTGTTGTATTGTAATTGTAATATAAGATTTTGTACTGTATCAATATTAAATTTTGACAAAACAAATATTGAATCAACTTAGTCAAGTTCCTGTGTTTCATCAATATTTATTCAATATACCTAGAAATGTCATAGTTGTGGTGAAGTGTGAGTGAAGGTGTCTCTAAACTGATTTGATAAACTTTACCTATAGATATCAAGGTGTATTGATAGTAAAAAAATGTTTGGTCTGCTAATATCACTGCTATACCTGTTTCAGCTGCCCTCGAAGATATCCGTAATCAGTTAGCTAAAAATAATACAGAACTGAGTTTTGAGAAAGAGAAAAGGGAACTAGCAGAGTTGCAGGCACGGAGAGAAAACAGTTCTGTAGCATTTCAGAATGATATGGCAAGATATTTGAATAGTGGTATTGTGCCAGTTGGCCCAAGTGGTAAGTAGTTGAATTGGAGCTAATTATGTAAAAAGCAGTCAGATTTCTGAGTATGTTCTGAGATGACTATTTTCCATTAGGTCCAATATCTATTTACCCATGCTAAGTCCCAGCTTTGCATGAGATCAGAATACCAAACAATAACTAGTATATTTATAATATTGCAGATTTTATTTAGTACAATTATTAAATTGCAGTGTTAAAAGCCTGGCAACTGTTACAAAGTCAAGCAGTGAAAAATTTATATTGTCTAAACATATGTAAGAGAAAAAAAGCTGTCAATTGCCTCTTTCATTCAATTCAATATTTAACATTTTACAGAGGCTTCATCCTCAGGAATGCCATTGTAGGAATATGATCCATTAGAAATGTCTTTTGGGATATTTATGGTGGTGTTTGTTTTTAGATGAAGGTCACCATTTACTATCAGATGTACCTACAGCATGTTCCCAATGCTATTGCAAAAAAAAATATTGCTAAGTAATGTATGGTGTTATAATATTAATTTGGTTGTGAATCATAATTAATCATAAATACAGGTGTATTTAAGGAGTATGCCTACTCCAGGACTTGTGCCCACACCAGAATGTGAGTGTAGGTTTTAATTAACAAAGACATGTCTGACAGTATATAATATGCCTTTTTTAAATAATCAGCCTGGAAAATAATTTTAATATTCATAAACAGATTGTAAGTTGTAATAAATGTATTTTTCTCATTTTCAGGTCCACCATCTTCACCTAGAATGACTTTAGAGCAAGTGGAATTGGAAGATGATGGTTCTGATTTAGAGAAATTCCTGGACAAGTTGTCACATTGATGTGGTTATGGTGATATCATTTAGAGCTTAAATAATATTTAATATTATTAATAATAAGAATTCTATTTACTGTTTCCAATGTTAAATATAATTTTGTTGATATTTTATCATAATAAGACTTTTTATTGTAATTGTTAGTTTGGTAATTTATGGAATACTGTTCTCTATTATGGGCAGGAGCGCCACAGTACCAGCTCCATCTGTTGACTGCATTCAAAGTTGGGCGACTTAAATTATTGATGTTTACATTCCGACTTAATCTACTGAAACTGCATAGAGATGTTGCATTTCTATGCATCTATTGTTGTATATATCATGGGGAGTGCTCTAAGGAATTGTTCAGATTATACCTGCTGTTGATTTTCACCACCTTACAACCCGGCATCAATTAAAATTCTATTCCAATCATCTGGATGAGTGGCAGTTCAAAAAAAGAATTTGTATATATCTCTTTTTTTAAACTCCTCTTTGTCTAATTAAAATACATAGCCCTTGTAGTCTTGTTATTTCAGCATTTGTTGTTTTATTAGAACTGTTTATTTGTTTTATAATTCTGGTGTTAAATAACAAACCATATCACCTTATTATTTGGTGCTGCCAAGTAGAAGCCACAAATAATAGCCTCGAGTTATAACAATTCATATAAAATTTATTTTTCTTTGCTAGTTACCTAGAGAATTTACGTTTGTAAATTTTTTTAACTGAAATTAATTTTCTTAATAGATAGTCTTATTAATAAATTCAAAAAATACAAATATATATATATACAAAATATTTATGACTAGTAAAATGAGCACATTGCTAAAATAGCTTTGTCACATAAGTGATGTCACAGTTCGGTACACCTTCGCGTCACACTACGATGTTCACTGTTTGTTCACCACAATATTTATATCAAAAACAAATTTCCACCACTAAAAGTTGACGATCGTATAAAATGCTCAAAAAAATAAACGTCACAATAATTTAATTAAATACACACTTCGACTTGTTTATACGCATTTCTCAATTTCGATCCGCAACTTTCAGTGGTAAAGTGTAAATACAGTAGTTTTTTTGCACCCATTCATGATCTTTCAATAAATATTTACTATGTTTTTCTCATGACTGGACGTAAGTCGCCCCCACCGTGTGCGGACATTTTAACCTTTCCAGAGATATGTCGTCTTATACAAGGCCCCGCATCTTTGATGGAACCAGTAGCATCTTTTAATTCCTCATCAGAGGAACAATCCGACACGCACAAGGTCAAATGCCGCTTCTTCGGTGGCATCACATGCAGGGTCCAACGCAAAGGACCTTTATGGCATTTCAGCGCAGCTTCTTTAGCCTCGTAATCAGTATCAGAAGCCGCTCTCTGTTCACTCTTCAGAGTTCTTTTTGGTCTATGTGTTTGCTCCTTTTTTTCCCCCCTCGGGGGGATGTGGAAGTTTTTTAAACTCATATTCGTATGCGACTTTGTATTGAGGTCCGGGAAGTTTTGGGAATATATCACGACACTGTCAACTTTCTCTTTATGAAATTTTGCTGCTTGCCTTTTGCTTTTTGAATCATCCGACACAGACGGGGAACTAGATGTACGTTTCCCTGCAGAATTACTGCTGCTGCAACTGGTGTTACTATTACTTGTACTATATTGTTCTACTGCTTGTTTTTCTAGTTCACGAAACTTTGTATCTATACTTTCGTCCGAAGCTTTGTATTGTTCTAAAGCCTCTTTTTCTAGCTCTTCAAATTTATGGTCAACTACGTTTTTCGATCGGAGTCTAGTTGTTGGTAGCGCAATCTTAGGGTTCAGCTTTATTAATCCTGGCGTTAATTTCTGAGCCAACCTGACGCATCCTACCGGTGTTAAATTTATCGGATTGGGCGCGCTCATACTGAGAACAGTACTGTACAGACGTTTTTTTCGCAAACCAGTTTCAATAGCTGCACTACTTGTAGATGGTACTTGGCTGTCGACAGTGACATTATTTGTTGGTTTTTGATCTATTTTCTCCGCTTGTTGAGATTCAGCTGGTGGTGTATTTTCAGTTGTTTTATCTTCTGAAGGCTCTTTAATTTCTTGTTCAATTTTTGGGGTTACTTTTTGGGTTTCGTTGCATTGTGTATGTGTGAGTTGGAATCGATGGTTAAGTTGTGGCGAAGGATGGTCTCTCGGCCACCAGACACTGTACCGTTTTTCGGGACAGCGAGCGGGTCGTTGGCCGGTGGGCGCGTATCTGCTTACGTTGGTCCCACGATATAGAGGGCAACGGGCTGCGGTTGCTCTCATCACGGCTTGCACGCTGGCTGACACTCTCCCCATTGCGCGCTGACATTCCGCCACGTTCAAAAGAGGCGGTCTCGGCGGATCAAACTGAAACTATCATAATAAGCGTTAAGTATAACGTTGTTCATATGAATATTTCTATCTACAGGCTGAAGTAAAAATCGATGGCACTCTTTGAAATGAGTATTCTACCAGGAAAATGAAACAATTTCACTAAAAAAAATATGGGTCGTAAAACAACAAATAATATTGAGTCTGCCATAGCACATTGTTGATATGGAAGAATCTTTTATCGTTTTTGAATTACGAAATTTGTCTCCTATCATGTTCTATAGCGTGGGTAAATTGTTTTATGTACTGTTTACAATTTTGATTTCGTCAACGCTACATAATAGCAAAAAGAGGTAAGTGAGTCCTGAAGAAGTAGTTAGAAAGATAATGTGCGCAAATGAGGAATTACAGGGGTTGGGAGAAGACAAACAGGGGACTTATCACAGGCTCATGTACATGAGAAAGTCTTTGTTACATTATTGTAATTGTTGTGTATATACATCTACATGGATCTTCCATTTGATCCGATGGTTGGCCATGTGCATCAAGGGACTTAAATAACTCAGTTGCTAATAAATTCCATTCAAGGTACCTTATTGGATTTTTTTTTAAATTGTCATGGGAGACATACAAGTTCCAAGTGTTCAAAATTACCTTGCAAGTTGGATCACAAAAGAGCTGTGCTGGCATTTCTAGGCAGTACGCTGGTAGAGGTGGCGCCAATGCGAGTCTGCGGGGCTGACGCCGTCGTGCGCGTATCTTGCGAGGCACAGGGGGCGGACTAGGGGCTCGCGGAGATCGGGCGGGGGCAGGTGTTGCCCACAACCCCCGTACGCTCTGCACTCTCGCAGCCAGGGCCGACTCCTCCCCCGTCGCACGCACCCCGGCCGGGCCCCAGCGCTCGCTAGCTGCCGATCGGTGCCCGTTAATTCTATACTTATGCAGATATTGTCCACTTCATTATTGGACTTGCAATGGCAAACAAGCTGATGGCTAAAAGATAGTCATAACTGTCGCCTATGGATATGAACACCATCATTTATATCACGAGATTGCTGACGTTATAGTACCTTATCACTCCTGATGATCAGGGTGGGGGGAAGGGATTCTTAGTAATGGAGAGGTTAGTCCCCATCTCTATCAATATACCTTATCAGGTCGACCTCCACGTGATTCCTCCTGGAAACCATCATGACTAATTTTCGTTGAATTCGTCACGATGGGCTAACTAACCTGCCTTTTCATCCTCACCAATCATCCCTCATTGGTGCCCCGCCAGTGTATACCGATAGCGCAGGCGGGGTTACCATTTCATTATCATCCATAAAAAAAAAAATGATCTGGGTGACATGTCTTCATACTAAATAATTTTCCGACCTTATGTCACCTTGGCGGTAAAAACACTATTTTTTTGGCAAAATGTACTCTTAGTAAAGTGTAACTTGAGAAGACTAAAGTGGATGGTGCCTAGGCTGAAAAGTGAATTTTTATTCACAGTTAGATTGACAAACAAGTTGACGGCCAACCTGTTGGAAAATGGTAACCATCGCTTATAGACATGAATATCACCTTAGACATTACAGAATATACTATTGCCGTTGCCATTCCTAAAGAATAACTAATTTCATTGCCATATCCCATCTTTCAAACCAAAATACAGTCATGCAAGCACAGTTGTTTCACGGTAGAAATATGAGTGAAACAGAGATACCCATGCAGACGACTTTTGTACCAAATCTTTCTTTGGTGTAATCAAAGATTATTATAAGACTAAGGATTACTAGTTGGGACAGTTTCGTGCCATTTGTACCTCACCCTATATTGCTCGCAATTGGACCGTTGGGTTAGTATTCTCCCTTCCCGGTTTTATTATATTTATAGTTAAATAGTTTTAGAGAGATATACGCACAAATCGTCATCCGGCAGCATTCTGTACTGTCTCCGGCGTCGTGGAACCGTACTCCGATCCGGCGCGTCGTCTACCAATTTGCGGAACCAGTATTCTACCTACACAAACCATATTATAACATGTACATATTATGCTTTTAAAAATAAAAAGTAATGTTTAATTTAAATCTTGTATGTATATTCTATGAAAAAGAAGGTATGCTGGGCGTTTTTTTGTGTGACGGGATCCGAAAGGACGTCAGAAAAACCGAAGTAACTGACATAGCCAGAAGGATAAACTGAAGTGGCAATGGACTGGTCACATAGCTCGAAGAATCGACAATCGTTGAAAAAGAAAGGTTCTTGAGTGGCGATCCCATTCAGACAAACAGAGTAGGATAACTCGCCACTAGATACAGCGACGACCTCAAATGCATTTCAGGGAGTCAGTGGGTGCGTGGCTCGGGGCCGTTTCTTATAACAGTCTATGGGCAAGGCCTACGTTCAGCAGTGGTCATTAAACAGATGAGACGATAATATATATTCTACTCAGACTAAATACATCGCTTTAGACAGATTGGAATTGTAGCTGTAACATCACGGAGTCGAGATAATCGAGAACTATAAATTTTTCATACTAATGTTAGAGCCATTTAAAAAGAATACAGCTTGTTTCATGAGCATTAAAGCCTATTCAAGTTACTAAGAACCCATAATAACCTGTACTCGTATGCTTGCTTACCTGTAACCTATCGGTAAACTCTTTTGTCCCCTACAGCTATCTACCAGGTCTCAAGTTAAGGCATACATTACACATTTAGAATACATAAATCGGTTGTGCGTTTTCAGGGATTAGTGATCTAAACATTATAAGGAAGAAAATTGTTTTATTTTCGTTTCTAAAAAATATTTAAACCATTTTATAATTTATCTATAAAAGGTAACATTATTAGCGAGTAACATGTGCTGTATTTTATTTTTAAACGCCGAATTTTTGAAGAAGACAAAGAAGAAGGATCTCTAGTCGAATATACACTCCTCGCAAAAATTAAGGGAACATAAAAATTTTTGAAATTTTTGGGTGATTTTCAACAGGCTGTATTTCAGTGAAAAATAATCGTACAGGAAATTTAAAAAAATAGTTTTGAAGCTTGAAAACTCTAGTTTTCAGATTTTTTGGTGAAAAAATTTTTTGAGCTCCGGTTTCCATGCAATTCTTAAAGAAAGCTGAAAATATTTTTTTTCTAAATTTTCTAGGTTTCGTTTTTCACTCTATGGGCATGGAAAAATTTTTTCGAGCTACTCCATTGTATAGGTCTCTTAGCGTGTTTATTCAGCTTCAAAAATCGCTTTGGATGGCTCAATTACGACCATTTGTCTCCGAGATATCGAACTTTGAATGCAAAAGCATCCTTTTCCATTCAACTGCTAATATCTCTGGAACTACTGGTCGCACAGCAAGCGGGCGCCGAGTTTCTTTATCTGCATAAAATTTCCAATTAAGCACAGTCAAGAGTTAGTGAAGAAAAAATTTTTTTCCACCTCTAACATTGAATTGAAAAAAGTGGAAAAAAGTGACTTTTTCTCCTTTTTTGGTTACTTGGCTGTGTCTTCGCTAATATGGGCGGGAAAGCTAAGGTTTGAGGAAAATTTTACAGTCTATTGTTCCTTAAAGAACCCCCTAAATCCCTGGAGCGATCGGTTCAACGGTTTTTCCCGGACCAATTGATTGAAATTTTGGAAAAAATAAGGGAACAAGGTTTTTGTCCCTTAAACTCACCCTAATCCATTCAAAAATCAATAATTTCATTTGTTTTTCACTTTTTACTCAATTTTTTGTTTTTTAAAAATTCATTATCAGAAAAAATCGAAAAAAATCAAGAAATTTTTAAAAAAAAATTTTTTTTTGAAAAGTCGAAAAAAGTTTACAAAAATTTTTTTTTTCGTTTTTAAGGAAATCAAAGTTTTTGACAAAAACTTTGATTGATGATCGATTTACCGCCGGCATTAGCGTTACCCAAAGCATACCACGTGGAGGTTGCACGGTCGGATTTACGTGCATAAGCACAAAAGAAGCGTAAATCCGACCGTGCAAGGTGGATTAGGGTGAGTTTAAGGGACAAAAACCTTGTTCCCTTATTTTTTCCAAAATTTCAATCAATTGGTCCGGGAAAAACCGTTGAACCGATCGCTCCAGGGATTTAGGGGATTCTTTAAGGAACAATAGACTGTAAAATTTTCCTCAAACCTTAGCTTTCCCGCCCATATTAGCGAAGATACAGCCAAGTAACCAAAAAAGGAGAAAAAGTCACTTTTTTCCACTTTTTTCAATTCAATGTTAGAGGTGGAAAAAAATTTTTTTTCTTCACTAACTCTTGACTGTGCTTAATTGGAAATTTTATGCAGATAAAGAAACTCGGCGCCCGCTTGCTGTGCGACCAGTAGTTCCAGAGATATTAGCAGTTGAATGGAAAAGGATGCTTTTGCATTCAAAGTTCGATATCTCGGAGACATATGGTCGTAATTGAGCCATCCAAAGCGATTTTTGAAGCTGAATAAACACGCTAAGAGACCTATACAATGGAGTAGCTCGAAAAAATTTTTCCATGTCCATAGAGTGAAAAACGAAACCTAGAAAATTTAGAAAAAAATTATTTTCAGCTTTGTTTAAGAATTGCATGGAAACCGGAGCTCAAAAAATTTTTTCACCAAAAAATCTGAAAACTAGAGTTTTCAAGCTTCAAAACCCTTTTTTTAAATTTCCTGTACGATTATTTTTCACTGAAATACAGCCTGTTGAAAATCACCCAAAAATTTCAAAAATTTTTATGTTCCCTTAATTTTTGCGAGGAGTGTAATAACTAGTCGAACTACAATCGAGCACGTAGAACGAACAAAGTTGACTAAGCAAGCTCCCCTCTCTTTTGCATTGAAACTACTCATTGATGTTTTGAACCGGTATACGTAATTTGATTATCATTGTTACCACTTTCCATCAGGTGAGCCGTCAGCTTGTTTGCCATTCTAAGTTGGATAAAAAAAACATGCTGAAGTTTCGTCAGATGACCACAGAATGTTTGTGTTCAGAGATATAGATGTTATTTCTATTATAGTTATGTTATGATTTAAGTCTAATTAGTATTATTTTATTTAATTATACATGTCTTAATTACTGTACTGATGCTTTCCTGGGTGAACGTATTGGCAAACTAAAGCTCACTCAGTTGATAAAATAAATAAATAAATATATATTATTTTTTTTATAGCACTGAGGTGGCAAATACGCATACGGCCCACCTGACGGTAAGCGGTTACCGTAGCCGTATATATTTGTATATACAGCTAGGAAGGTGGTGTATACCTCAGGCAACATCCAACATTCTGTGAGGTCTGAATTCTCGCATCCCTGTCCATTATATCCACGCGCATTTGTTCTCTCATTCGCGTTTACATAACATTTCTCTCTGGAAGGAGGGCAAACAAAAACATTATACAATTTATTAACAAGTATGTAGTAGAAAATATTTGAAGTTTGGCTAAAAGTTTTATTTATCATTTCATTGCAGACTACCGGGACACTAGTAATATAACTTTAACTTACATCGGTACTTATTTTGTTACACTTACACTAATGTATAATATACCTAAGCAGGTATAAGTTACTAACAACTGTGAAAAGAAAAAAATAAACCCCGTAATATGTGATTTTCAAGATGGAAGTTCAATTATCTCACCCAAACACATTTAGCCACTTAAATCTGATTTAGTAAGTAATATCGTTTATTTAACCATTCAAATATGTAAAGGGGAGACTAAAATGTTAGTGATGGAGAAATTAACCCCCATTGTTAGCAATATATTCTGTCAGATCAACTTTCACGTGACTCCCTCTAGAAACCTTCGCTGTTTATTCTCAGTGAATTGGTCCCGATTTGCCAATTGGCTTGATTTCATTCACCATTAGTGCCCCGCCGTCATTGTATACTATTAAGATACAGACGGATGCACCATCCCAAAGTAAACCATTAAAAATGTTTAAGTTACAATTTTCTTTATGTTTTCTCCTCTAGAAACGTTCAGTTGTCAGCAAATTACCTAAAAACATTTTTCCTTACTCGCTGACGAACGGCACTGCCTATTGATCGGTGTATTAATATAATATTGTCTTTGACAAATTACCTGGCTTCGTCGTAATAGAAATTTCCATAAAATTGCGCTAATCTCGATTCGGGAATGACGTCTTTCACGCTCCGTCGGCCGCTACTGCCTCCATTTTCTGGACTTTGGTTTGCGGCAGCTCGCTTATCTGCAAGATTTGTATCTATTGACAGAGTTACAAGAGAATTAATTATGATTAATTCTTTCTGTGATTTCTACTACTGAAAATCTATCTTTATATTAAGCCTTAAAGGTTAAAAGCTAGAGAATTCGATACTTGCATACATTTTATTTATTTTCATAATTCATAAAACATGCATTCATGTCAGTTCCAGAAACTCTTGACTCCTGTATCAGACATTATTAACACACGGTTCGTGAGTGTCAAATAGCTTTCCCGTAACGCCTTTCATCTATATCTGCGGTGAATTTCCCAACTAACCTGTCGTTTCGAATTGATTATTCGCTTGTATACTATGATTCGATTCTAACGCTGTCTCTTGTAACACTTGAGAAATTCTGCAGTGTTGTGCCCAAAGGCGCTGGAAAGTGATATTAAGTACTTTTTATATTCTATGTAGGCTATGTAGTTACGGTGTCACCCCATATTCTCTATATTGCCATAAGAAGTGACTAAGAGAATAAAACAGAAGAAGAAAGATCTGCATTTCTGCCTACCCTAATGGGAGACAGGCGTGACAGATATGTATGTAAGAAAAAAGACTCGAAATAAAGTTCTGTACTAAATTACATGGACAGTAATATGTAGTAGGCTATATCATTCTCTTATAAAATATGTGTCTGGCAGTCGCAGTAGTGAACGTTTAATGGAATATTATAGTATTTTTCTCAAAAGATAAAACGGAACCCTAATAGAATCACTTTGTTGTCTGTCTATCCGTCCTTCTGTTAAGACCTTTATCCAGCGCAGGTGGAGTTACCATTCCATTATCACCCATTCGAAAATAAAAAAAACATGTCCAAACATGTTAGGTAATTATTATTACCGGAGAATTTAATGAACTCTACTCATGGAACGATGCCGCTGGTTCTGGCTGGTAGAATTATCAGTAATGATGTGATGAAAGAACATGGGAATTTGTTGCGAGCTTACCTTGAATATTTACTTGATATTTAACCTGCATGTTTTAATTCTAAGAACTTTTCCCTTTAATAAAATAGACTACTAAGATATTACGTATTATTTATTTATGTATTAATGTTTTAAGTATGTGAAGTATTTTTTAAGATTAAGGTACGATGAGGCTGATATATCCTTATAGGAAAAAAGCCTCTAAATAAAAAAGATAAAAAAAAAATCTAAGAACTTGGAGGCGTATTCAATTTGTGCAATATTTATTTTAAAATAAATTTTGCTTGCGTATTAGAATATCTATCAATAAGAATTTTAACCCAATCAAAAATACAGCTGATTTGTAGCAAAATTGACAGTTCCGATTAATTTCTTTTATTTTTTCTCCCTAAATGAAATTATTGGTTTCAATACCTGATTAGCGATAATAAATTCGTCCGGGGGTTCTGCAGCCCATGTGAGATCCGCACATAGGGCTATGTGTGCCCACGAAGCTAAGTACCGATCCACTTCGAAGCTCATTCAATGTGACATCCCATGCATACAATTAATTATTTTTACTGTAAGGAACAAACTAATATATAAATAATTAAATTTCCAGAGAAAAATTAACGATAAAACTGTTAATAAAAATGACGACAATTTGAAATACATTGGCGGTTAAATCTACAATAATAAAATTTTCCTCTTTTTTGATAGATATCATGATATATTTTTTTTCTTTTAATTCAAATTGTTTTTCGAATTTCGTATGACTGATTGAAATGTCATCGCGTTGGCTGAGGCAAATGCTGAATTAGAGGTTTTATTTTATCAACTTCTTTGTAAAAAATTTGATTTTTGCTTACTGATAGCAACTAGGAACAATGATAGGATGTTAATTTGTGTTTTTCTTTAATGTTTATTAAAAATACTCTTTTTTTTTATTATGTGATAAGATTTTTGTCCGCTAGACTTCGTACACGTAGATTTCATAAGGAAGAAAACCATGGAATAGTCTACTTCTAGATGGCGTATCAAAATAAAGCATCTAGACCAGATTTTAAGTCAAACCTTCTGGAACAACTATGCAAACAGAATCCAATTTGTTAAAGTAGTTTTTCCGTGATACTGGAACACACATACCTACAGACAGACAAAATTTCTAAAAAATATTGTTTTTTTTTGCATCTATTGCTCTTAATAAGACCCCTCATATCAACGATTAAGAAAAATCTTAATCGTTTCCCATGTACAGACATAATCTAGTTACATGTTTTTTATTATATTATAAAAGTTAGATAAAGGTAGTAATTAGTCTTTCTAATCTTTATACTGTTAAATAGTTAATACTTATAAGAGAAGTTAAGCATGCTTTGCAGATTGTATAGTTCTTCTGTTATTGTGTCAATATTCTTTGATAATGATAAAGAATAATATAACAGTAAATTTAATACTGGCAACATATTCCATAGAAGTTTTAAATTTCAATAGTAGGCATCCCTACTCCCGTCAACCATGTCAGTTTCGTTTCGTTCGTCAGTTTGGCTTGCGCAGGTGGCGTTGTCGGTTTATACCCGTCACGCATGCGCGCGCAGCTGTGAGGTGGCTGAATGAACATTGACAGCTCAGTAAAATAATTTCATTTACGATTTATTTTATATAATAAAATTAAATCAAATATTAAAACAAACTTAGGCCTTTATTACTGAATAGTGGTTCTAAGTATTGACATTGAGTATATCTAGTCGGATGTTGTTAAAAAAAAATAAAGAAAAAATCGATTGAATATAACGACTGTGCATTTTTTATTTGATTTTTCGTGAAGAAAATCAACTGTTAGTTTTGCAACAAGTGCCGTAGTGTCCGGTGTTGGTGCTCATGAAACTGGTTTGTGAACCGTTGGTTGGCTTTTTTGTGTTTATGTATATTTGTGAAGTACGTATAGTTTCGCGAGTGATCGTGCTCCGTTAATGATGCTGGAAGTGGATGCAAGTGTCTGCCACCGAGTCATCTCCGCATGGTGAGTGGTCATAGACCCTGTACAGTGTACACACAAACAAACCATACCAGATTATGCAAGTATAGAGAGACACCGCGCGACACTTTCGCGTTGTATTAAGCACTTCTGCAATATTGTTTTTTTTTTTGCAGATCTTTATTCTAAATTTAAATAATAATAATTGCACATTATGATAATTTTATTTAATTATAGCAGAGATAATTAACTTCAAATAATTCCATGAATTATGCACAGTTACTAATGTTATACTTAATGTAAATACATCCTTATTATATTTACCGGGGTAGTTATAATTACTCGTTCTCAGCGAGTTTTATTAAACCATTTTTATTTCTAAATAAAATATGTGAAGATTCACATATCCTTTTCGAAATAAAAATGGTATCCCGATTTAGTTCCTTTGCCTTTTCCATTGTGGATAAATTGATTTTACTACTATTAAAAATGGTCTCCACGTGTAACTTCTGTTAGGCTGATGAAGTACAGTCACTGGATCGCCTGTTTTTTGCCTATAAACATTTTGCCCTGTAGTATTTGTATACTTATTGACAAATTAATGAATATCTATAACAATATGGATACCATGCGCTCTATTTAGAGTTTGTTAAACAAAGAAATATATAAATCCATAATATAAATAATTTAATATATAATATAATAAGTTAGTTGTACGAAAACTAAAAGAAAAAAAAATATCAGAAATTTACTGAAGACAATAGCTGTATGAGCTCAGCCCTTTTGCCCTCGTTATTAATGGGAGAACAGTAAAAAAGAAAACTAGTAATTTAAGAGTAAAACTCAAAATACCACTTCACACCGTAACAACCTATTTAACTTTAGATTCCATTACTAACAATCCTATTCTCCAAACAGCTTCATTGCTAACAATATACCCTATCAACTCGACCTCCACACGATTCCCCCTGAAAACCGTCTTGGTTCGTTCTTGTAGAGTTTGTCGTAATGGGCTAACTGACCTGCTTTCATCCACTTCCATCATCCTTCACTGGAGCCCCATTTATGGAGCCTCGCCAGCATATACCAATAGCTTAATCGGCGTTATCACTCATTATAACTCATTCAAATAATTAAGATTGTGTACACAAAAAAACCAACTTCATTTGTGGCCAAATTCAGATTTCAAAATTAAACTACTAAACCGATTTTGATAAAATTTCCATAGGACTAATCTATAAATATATACTATCAGATAAAAAAGAATACTCCAAATCGGTTTCTAATTTACGGAGTTATTATGTATCAAACATAAAAAAATACAACCAACCTGAAATTTTTTTTTTCTTAAATTCAGTTGAAAATCCCCTATGAAATTCTAATGAAGTTAGAAAAAAGATATATTTCTTTGTTCCTTCTTTTCCACTAGCGTATTTGTACTTTGCTCCCTAATCAATATTCTGGGAATAAAAATGAATGATGACACATTGTATTCTGATTAAAAAATATGTAACTACTTACGTACCTAAGTCATTTACAAAACAAAATATTCCCTTTTATTCCAACAATCGATTCATTATACGTAAATTTTGTAAATTTTTTCGTGTTTTTATATTGAATAAAAATAATGATAATGACAAATAAATGCGTACCAAGATTACTTACTAAATATGCCAAATATCTAGATATCTAAGATAAAACGTTTTTAAAATCCGAAATTATATACATTTTAATAGATCTGGACGTTTTTGTCACAATGATGAAAGTCATATTATTTAATATAGTAATTATTATATGTGATACTTATAAATATCTGTAGGAATTTAGCAACACAAATCTGCTAGGTTTGTTTTTTTATACTTTCTTATTATTATATGTTATTGGGTTCAACATTATCTTACACATAATATCTGATCTCTCTTTTCTTACAAAATTATAGATTGTGTAGATAACGTGTATGAGTGTGATACCTAATCACGAACGGACTTGAGAATCTTTTGTAATAACTTATGTATAATGGTTTATTATGTTGCTCAATCTAGTCAATTCTAATAACCGGTTGTAATGAAACTACATCACATATCACAATTAGTATCTTTGTAGATCAATTTTTGTTTCTTATAATATACTGTAACTCGTATAATTTAACTATTTATCTAAAATGTTTTATAATTATTAATAATTGTTCTACTGTTATACCATAATATGTCCCCAATTAGACTCCCCTCCAAACAGGGCAGCGACAATTGTGGAAAAACATTTTTAAACAATTTCGAAATTATGTTTAATTAATTATAAATACACGTTTATATATTTACAATTGTAAAATAATTATTTCTGAATTATATTACATTGAAAGTATTAAATATCATAACGCTCGATCGTATGCTCACAATTTTTCTTTGTTACACGTTTTAACGAGATTTTGTTTTACAAATAAGGCGAGTCTAATCGTCATTACTTTAATGTAGTCTTATCTTAAAAATAATTATCAGTCAAAATCAGTTTAGGAATGGTACAGTGTAATCATGTAACGTAGCCACAAAAAAATCGATGAATTGAGATTCTCCTTTTTAGAAGTTGCTCAAAAGTGATTAAATATACAGGAATGATAGTATAATATTATTTGTATTAAGCTAGTGTCTCTAAAATAATATTTATTACTAGCAGGCTAGGTTGTCTGTGTGAATTTGAATAAAAATGATATATCATTATATATATCGAAGCTACATGCCGCTTTTGGACATGTCTAGTCAATCCTGAAATCTTGTCACTGACCTAAACTGACCTAAGGCTGTTCATTCGTTGCGATCATCGAATATCGATTAAATATTAAAGATATCTAACAGTTTTAGTAATTTTATTTGTTGATATCATCTATTAACGTACATAACTACATTTTTAACGTCTTTAATATATACATTTCGCATGTGGTGTTTTCTTGTTTTAATGCGCTCATAATTTTTCGCCAACAGGTTGTCTTTGGGCTGACATCATTTGGCACGAACTAGCATGAACTGCACGTCAACTAATTATTAACAATTTGCATTTTATGGTAACATTTTGCATGGCATATATTTTGCATGACATTCAAATTTTGTTATTGCCGAAAATTGCTTTATTACGCTTTTTTTTGCTTTATATATCATTATTGTAATACTTACTAATAAATGTTTATAACTGATGATTTGTTATTTTTATATGCTTCATTATTTGCTGTAATTTAGAAGAGATTTAAAAAATGCCAAAATTACGTTTCTATTTTGTCAAAGGTTAACTGGAAGAGAATGCTGTATAATAGCATGATGTTCTTTTAAACCAATGTGTTTTTATAATGTAATCAATAAAGAATAAGTAAACAAATAAAAACAGAACACTATGTAAGTACTGAAATAAAAAATATCAAATGATATCTTCAAGCAGTATTTTAATATTACGGCATGCTTTAATAAAGATTAAGCGTGAAAACCTGAGATCAATGTTTATTTTGAGCAAAAACTATTTACGATCACTGATCACTAATTTAAATTGTGTAAGGCTATTAATTATGTGATAAATCACTTCATTTTAAGATTTGTTTTTCTTTATTTTTTATTGTTTGCATGAGTATTTTTATTAAAATCAATATTAAATTTATTTTAATGTAAATACTATCTGTTTTTATGGCATAGTAGAATGTTTTTATGAATGCAAAGAAATAATAAACTGGTCTGGTATAGTATATAAATGAATATGTAGAAAAGTGGTCGTATCTCCTAAAAGAGAATGTCTCCCTGCATTAATTATTGCATAATGAATATTAACAACAGTTTAAAAGGTAGATGTTGTATAAAGTTTGGTAATATCGCACCTTGTGTGCTGCAGTCCACACCCACTAGCTAACGTCATGCCGCATTTGTGACCTTGGCCCGGAGTCCTTGCTCCAATTTGACCAAATTCAAGTTCCCTGGAAAAGCTTCCGTCTATGTTAAAACTAGTGAAGAGTTAAGACTAGTCCCTAGTACCAACTTTAGTAAGATCTTGGGACCTAAGTGAAACTAATCTTAGGCGTATACATAGGCGTCCAAAGTTTATAGACGATATATTTTATTCCTTGTCGGTTGTTATTTTTAGTTATGTTATATTAGGTTATATAAAAGTTGTGTATTTTAAACTTTATATCGATTTTAAAGCACTATTTCTGAAACTAAAAGTTTTAGTTTATAACGTTTAGTATAGACTAATTTTATAATAGAATTAAGTTAGAATTGTTTTACATTTATTCTATGTGGTACATAAGTTTCGTAGAACTATCAAATTCAATTTAAATTTTAGAATTATATTTTGAGAATAGTGTTTTTTTTTTTTTTTTATACAACTTAGAATGGCAAACAAGCTGACGGCCCACCTGATGGAAAGTGGTAACCGTCGCCTATAGACATGAGCAGTACCACGGACATAACAGACTATACTGTTTCGCCCATGATACCCCCCATCCCTGAGGACTCAGGTGTTATTCTTCTGTACCCAGTAAATTCACGCCATATCCCACCCTTTAAACCGAAACACAGCCATGCAAACACAACTGCTTCACGGTTGAAACACGAATGGGACAGAGGTACCCAAGCAATCGACTTTTGTACAAAGTCTCCCTCTGGTAGATGGTGTCTCAGAATAGATTTTACTTCTATGCTAAATCCATACAAAATTGCGAGAAAAATGTGATCAGATATTGTACCGTAGCACTACAGTTATTATGTTAAATATAATGATAGAATAATTTAGATTACCAGTTCATTACCTTCATATTCATATTTTTTCTTCAGATACTTTCACCTGTAGAGAATAATGGTTAGTATTCCAAAAAGTAATAATCTTAATATTATAATGAAACATCTTGAAATAGTCTATTTTGTTATCTATTCTATTTTCAAAATCCACGTGTACTACATAACTGGCAAAAAACTAGTACTATATATAACTAGTTTATATATAATACGAATATAATATAATTAAAAATGTACTATGGAAATAAGAGATAAAATAATATGACACGAAACTGTTTA